CGTTATCATGGTTGGCCCATGGATGCTGTGCGTGAGCGGATGGAGTTTGTGGGAACGTTATCATGGTTGGCCCATGGATGCTGTGCGTGAACGGATGGAGTTTGTGGGAACGTTATCATGGTTGGCCCATGGATGTTCTGCGTGAACGGACGGAGTTTGTGGGAACGTTATCATGGTTGGCCCATGGATGCTCTGCGCGAATGGATGGAGTTGGTGGGAACGTTATCATGGTTGGCCCATGGATGCTCTGCGCGAATGGATGGAGTTGGTGGGAACATTATCATGGTTGGCCCACGGATGCTCTGCGCGAATGGATGGAGTTGGTGGGAACGTTATAACTGTTGGCCCATGGATGCTATGCGTGAACGGATGGAGTTTGTGGGAACGTTATCATGGTTGGCCCATGGATGCTCTGCGTGAACGGATGGAGTTTGGTTTGGGCATGGATAGGCTGGCAGCATGCACGCGAGCCAAAGTCGGCACGATGCAGATCTGAGCGACAGAGAAGTGGGGAGAAGAAGTGGGGCAAACGAGGGCGATGGACCCAAGGGACTGCGAGCTTCGCTCGTCCTCGGATCCTCCGGAAAAAGCATCAGAGAACACGTGTCCGCTACACTCCCGATACACAAAAACCTGAACCTCTAGGACTTTGGGTGGCCGGGCGATCTTGGCATCGCCTCCACAAATACCTGAGCACATGTGCAGATAGAGACTAAAATAAAACTGATGAACTGGGCATTGCTACAGTGCCGGGTTTCCAGCCTGTCCGTCTCTTTCAAGCGATGCGCGAAGAATCGAAGAGGTGAAACGATGCGGCGGGCGTGGAAAGGCTGACTCCAGCCATCAACCCAGCTGATTAAAACCACGGCGAGAGCTTGGGGCGAAAGACCCTTAAGCTCTAAGCCTCCAACCATTCGTAGCGCTCCTCTTTCCAGGCCTTTTCTCCGGCACCGTCGCCATGGTCCCGGTTGTAGCCCATGCATGCCAGGTAGATCTTGCAAGTCTGCTTAACCTCAGGCATCATATACATGCGTTGCAGCCACTCCATGATGTGTGGGTACTCCCCGGAGTTGAGTCGCCGGATATTGCACTTGAAGGCCGTGAAGTAGCAGGTATCGAAGCGAATCAGGTGTGGAAAAGCACGGACGTCCGCGAGCGAGATGCCGTCTCCAGAGTCTGCTACGAGGCCGTACTTCTCGCGGCCCTCTGCTGCGGCCTTCGCCTGGTAACAACGTGGAGTGACAATATTATGAGCACTAACAGCAACAGTGCAAAAAAAAAAAAACACTGTAAAGTTGCCATAGTTGCGGTATATTTACGTCTCAAGAATGTGCCGAACCAAGCAGAATGTCGTTGTCGCGATATGCAACTTGAACATTGTAAGGTAGCAGAAGCATGACTCAATCATGAAATCAGGCGCGGCGGTTCCCTAGATAGACTGCTCTTGCTCCTGGCAGCCACCACACAAACAGTGCGCAAAGCAAATCAAACCATAACCAGAAAGAACGACCGCGGACAGGCGGTGTCTGAACAGTCAGGGGTTGTTCAGACATTGGGGATCTTACGATTTGGGTTGATATCGGGGCCCCTCATTTTCTGAAACTCCCATCTAGCCAACTGCCGATATCACCTGCCAAAAACAAAAGGGCGTGGCATCTCGATATTGTACACCTGAGTTTAAAAACTACACGTCAGAGAGAAGGTCTAGGGCTTTGGGTGGGTATGATATTCTGTGCTTAAAAACCTAAACCCTAAACCCTAAACCCTACCGTCATGTATTAGATGTTTTGTTCCCTTGGAAGGTCCGAGCCTTGGACTTCTCAAGGATAGCCTCCACCTCAGAAAGGCCGATCTTCTAAGGGCTGCTCTGGGCTCTGTGACTTTAGCTTAGGGCTCGGGTTTTAGGGTTTAGGGCTTGTGAAGGACTTGGTATGCGGGGTTTGGGTTTAGGCCTTCGTGAAGGACTTCCAATTGGGTAGCGTTGTGTTGGGTGTTCGTCACTACTTTGTAGGGCTTTCCCAGCGTTTCAAGAATTCGCAAATGTATCTTTAGTTGCGTTTGGGGGTTCTAACTCAAACTATGATTTTTTGCAAGACTTATGCCTGCTTTGGTTCCGTTTGCACTTCCATGCAGGCCTCGTAACGGTGTTCTGCGGTTCCGAACCCTACCAACCCGGAAAAATAGCCGTGAAACGGAAGCCTTCTACCTTCAACGACACAAGTGGGAATACTGCTCAGCGGTGATAGTGCAGCTGATGGAAAGAGAGAATAGCCGCATGCAACCTCAAGAGTAGAAGACAACGAACCGTCAACAATCATCGAAACGTTTGGGGCCTGAGTTGCTCCGCTTTCAGGATCCTGAGGCCGCGGCCTCTGCCAGCGCTTTGAAAACATTCTGGCGCATCTGCTCCTTGAGGTCCGGCTCCTGCAAACACAATCCACAAGCGGTCCGCTGCTGTGCCAGGGATATGTGCGCGCCGGCACTCCTTCGCGAATGCCAC